AAACAAGATCTTACAACAAATTTTATCTTCAAGTTTACTTTGTGCAAGACCACACTGACTTGGAAAAATGAATTTAATATAGATTTGGATGTAAGAATCAACAGCATGAACTAGATCTGTTCTGTCTAATATAGTAGCCACTAGTTCTGGTGGCCTAGTGGATAAGGCATTTGGCTGCTAACCAGAAGGCTGGCAATTCAAATAAACCACCCACTCTGTGGAAGGAAGACTGGGGCAATCTATTTTCATAAAGATTTACAGCCTTGGAAACCCAATGGAGCTGAAATTGACTCCATGGCAGTAAGTTTGAGTTTTTTGAGCTAAATATGAATACTTAACTGTAAATTAATTAAAATAAAAAATTTAGTCCTTTGATTGCACTTTCTTGTTGTTATGTGCCATGGAGTTGGACCTGGCTCATAGCGACCCCTCCTTGGGTTTCTGAAGTGGTGTCACATAGAAGTAGATTGCCCAACCTTCCTTCTGAGGAGTGGCTGGTGGGTTTGAACCGCCAGCCTTCTGATTAGCAGTCAAGTGCCTTAGGCATTACTAGACACATTTAAAGTGCTCAAAAGGAAGTGACTGTTATCAGACAGTGCAGATTGTCAAATAGCTCCATAATCACAGGAAGTTCTATTTCACAGTGTTGAAGACTATTCAAAGCCTCACTAGTATTACTTGTTAACCAAAAACCAAACCAAACTCACTGCCATTGAGTCAGATCTGACTCATAGCAACCCCTCCTTGGGTTTCCAAGGCAGTATCACTATGGAAGTAGATTGTCCAATCTTCCTTCTGAGGAGTGGCTGGTGGGTTTGAACTGCCAGCCTTCTGCCTAGCAGTCAAATGCCTTAGGCACTACGCTACCAGAGCTCCTAGTATTACTTTCTAGAGGAGCTTTTTTGCTCACAAATATAAAATGTTACCCAGTACTATGGGTGGGCAAATTAGAAGTCCTCCTGTAGAATATTGTTTGAGAAGTAACAGGATCACCACCATTATCTCTCTCAGGCTCACCACTTGGTGATAAGTCCTTGTTAGACTCACTTTGCCAAGAATCAGAATGGTAAATTAGAGTTTCCTTCCTTTAGCTTAGACCAAAAAGATGATTTGTCTTCCTTCTGCTTTCATAAAGTATTAAAAGTTCCAAGGGAAATACCACATTGAGGCAAAAACACACATCACAAGTGAATTTTTTGGCAGTGGGCTGCATGGAGAGAGCATCAAGAAATTTGGATGAACAGAGGCTACTGGTGGGCAGAGAAAAGCACTGTGAGAGGAGAGCCTAGGAAGGGCCTGCATCTCAGCTGTGACTGGATCAGTCCTGGGCAGACCTTTGGAGAATGGAGTGACTTCCATGGGCAGCAGTTCTGGAGACATCCTATACCCATAGTTATCAAAGCTGTATAAGCACTTCATAGAGTCTAGAGGGAGTGTCCTAAGAATGCTAAACCAAAAAGTCACTGCAATTGAATGGATTCCAACCCATAGTGACCTGCTTTGGGTTTCCAAGGCAGTAAATATTTATGGACGTAGATTGCCCAGTCTTTTTCTGCTGAGTAGCTAGTGGGTTTAAACCACCAACCTCCTGGTTAGCAGTCAAATGCCTTAGCACTATGCCACCAGAGAGAGTGTAAAATGTGGCTCTGTTGTTCTTTGGTGCTGTTGAATCGATTTTGACTCATAGAGACCCCAAGTGACAGAGTGGAATGGCCCCACAGGGTCTTCTGTAATCTTTAACCATGGAGTTGATTGTGCAGTGCGTAAGGCATTTGACTGCTAATCAGATGCCTGGTGGTTCACTCCATGGAAGGAGGACCAGACAATCTACCCCCTTAAAGATTTACCACCTCAGAAACTCAATGGGGGTCTCAGAATTGCCTCGATGGGAGTGGGTTTGGTTTTTACTTTTGGAATCTTTACTAAGCAGATGACCAGGACTTTCTCCCACAGTGCACTTGAAATAAGGAGGTGAATTACATAAAGGAAAAAGAGATTTGAGAGTTGCACTATGTAGCTGAATATCTTGTTATCCTTCTTGTGGTCCAACTCCTATTTCTACCATGAGGAAGCACAGTAGACTGTCTCCTCTTTCCTCTCTTTCTTAGGGAATGATAAGGTGGGGAGGGAGAGGGAGGACAGGAGTATGAGCCCATCATTTGGTCATCATTTGATGAACTGAGTCTGAAGGTTTATTCCTTAAGAGGAAGAGGCAGGAAACTTTTCAGGGTGACCCCTGTGAAGCACAACTGTGGGTCAAGGAACTTGGTTTTGCTTTTGTCTCTGGTTTCTGAAAATAGCCTGAGCAATTAAGGTGCTCTTCATTTTTCTAAAATAGCCAGACAACACTTAAGCATTTGCAAATGAGTTGGGAGTCTTCAACTCCTAACTATGGCCACATATCTCAAGAAGGGAGGGGGACATGATGAAATCTCTGAACAAACAACTGCTCCTGACCTTCGGAAGCCTGATGTAATTTGTTAGTAGGGTTAAAGAGACACCTTTCTGGGTAGGCACCAAGGTATCTGACAACCTTCCCCCTAGGCTGGTAAGTCTGGGAAAATTTACATTATGCTCCATGTCATGAATGCTTTGGGTATAAAAATGGATGAGAGATGAACCTTGGAGTCCATCAGCTATAGTGCTAGGTGGAAGCATGCATAGCAGAAATTTTCAGCCTGCCTAATTAAACCAAGGAGCTCTGGTAGCATAGTGGCTAAGGCACTTGACTGCTAATCAGAAGGCTGGCGGTTCAAACCCACCAGCCACTCCTCGGAAGGAAGGTTGGGCAATCCTACAACCGTAGTGATACTGCCTCGGAAACCCAAGGAGGGGTCGCTATGAGTCGGGGCCGACTCAATGGCACATAACAACAACAACAACAATTAAACCAAGCTGCCCAAGGGGAGATGGGCAGAAAATATGTCTCCTTTAAATCCCTCACCTATAGCACAAAGTGGATTATGCATAGAAAAGTAGACATCTCTGCCTAGACAGCCTTTTTGAGTCATGGGGAAGAATGACTCAAAAAGGGATCCACATTTGTTTTGATGTGCTGTCTGCTTCTTTTTGTAAGTAATAAAAGTTACTTTCCATGTGCTAACACTCTGGCAGCATCCTGTGTCAGAAGGACATAAAATTCATAGAGGAGTCACTCTTAGTGATTGGTACCTTTTTTCTAATTGCCTTCTGCTGTTTAGAAATCTGGGGCAAACTATGAGTGCATCATCAGAACAGTATCATTCAGATTTATACCGTTAGCACATTTATTTAAAAAACCCAACCAGAACCTTGGTGGTACAATGGTTAAGCTCTTGGCTGCTAACTAACAGGTCAGCACTTCAAATCCACCTGTGGCTTCATGGGAGAAAACACTTGGCAATCTGCTTTTGTAAAAGACTACAGCTTAGGAAATCCTATAGAGCAGTTGTACTCCATTCTATAGGGTCACAGTGAGTTGGAATTAACTCTAGAGCATACAAAAACATTAAAAAACCCAGTCCCTACTTTTTGAAGTCATAGTTAATATTCTTAGGACAAATCCATATAATTATATTATAATCCAAACAACTGAGCAACAGGAATGGGTTTTCTGCCACTCCTGGCTGCTCAGAGAGCTGCCACATCTTAAGAGAATCTACATAGTAATAGGGCATTAGGCTCTGGTCTTCATTCTTGAAAAAACCTACTTTGAGGTTTCTCTCTATTCACATTTTTCCTCCTCTTATGTACATGATTAACAGAAAAACCTTCTGAAGTCACTCAAGTTAGAGAGAAACCTTCAACTTATTTGAAAAAGTATTAACATGACATGTTTTTCTTTATTTTTTCCCAGAAATAATATGAGCAAGTTAATCAATTTGTTCATTGTGAACATGACAGCACTGTTCAGCAAGTTACAAAACTGACAGTAGATTTGGTCAGGCTGGTAAATTACTGAACACAGTCACCAAAGATGGTTAATAGAAAGTCACTCTTAACCTGGGATGGGGTTTATGTCATGGAACAAAGCTCTGTCCTTGGCCATGAACTGCTGATTCCCGACCCCCCCCCCACTAGTTAAGGCATAGATATTATCAAAATTTTGATGACAAAAATCAGAAAGCTTTTATAAAGAGCTAGTATATGAGGGTGCTTGTTAAAATACAAACCCCCTGGACTCATTAGGTAGGGCCTGGGAATTTGTGTTTTTGCTGGTTTTCTGGGTGATACACATTACTACTAAATTTGAGAACTTTAGAGCATTAGAAGATTGAGCACGACAACAGGTTCAATAGACCGGAACATTTTTAACCCAAAACCAAGCCCACTGCCATCAAGTCAATTTCAACTCCTAGTGACCCTACAGGACAAAGTAGTATTGCTTTGTGGAGTTTCGAAGGCTGTAAACCTTTACAGAAGCTCGACTGCTTCATCCTTTCTCCTGCATAGCAGCTGATGGGTTCAAACTGCTGACCATTTGGTTAGCAACCCAGTCCTTTAACCACAGCACCACCAGAGCTCCTTGAAACACTGTTAACACAGATAGACTTTGGTCATGGAATTTTACCTCCAAAATAAAAATGAAAATTGCTTTCTTCCTTTCCTATTATGTAAAATTGTGTAATTTGAGAGTGAAAAATCAGGGAAAATCAAGTTTAATAGTTTCTGTTCAGAATATGCGGCTATCTTACTTGTGTGAGAGTCCTGTGTGGGATGAGAGTTGTCTTCTTTTAAGAAAAACTTTCATCTAAACACCAGTAAGCCAGCACATTCAGTGTCACCATAGTACTAAGTATTTTTGGTTACAAATATGTGTGATAAACAAGTAATTAATTGATTTTGACTTGACAAATATAAATAGAAAACTGCTTTAGGATTTTATAGGATTTACAGAGAATATGCTCCACAGCTCAAAACACAGTTCTCCTTTCAGAATTTAAATCTCCTTGCATTAAATTAGGATTTGCCCTCCCCTATTTCCCTCTTTCCCCACCACTACACAGTATGTTGATCCTTACCACAGAAATGGAGTTAGAGAGCAGTGTTCCCTCCTGTCCCAGCATATTGGAGACGGTGATTTCAGGTAGGTCCATATTTTGTGGATGAAATGGTAGCAGGCCATTATGGTTCATTGGGTGGCACAGAGAGTGGTAGCCAGACTCGACTTCATTCAGGTGAACCAGTGAGTGGTCAGGGAGGGAAGGGGGAGTGATGGGTGGGATATTGAAGTCCTCGCTCTCCAGGCTTGGACCAGGGTAGGACTGCAAAAAAGACAAGAGAGATATTGTTGCATATTATTTTTGCCATGTCTTCATCATCATGAACAAACACACATGAGCCCTTCAGCTAGTATTAACAGCAGCAGCATTATGAATTTGGCAAAGACATTTCAAACACTCAGAATATCATGCTGGAGTTTCCCTATTATGCATGGAAGCAAATTGCCTCACAGGCGTATCCACTTCTGGTATAAAACACACTTCCATTAGGTGGTTTTCTTTTTCCAAGAAGCTGAGCTCAAACCGATTTCAAAGGTCCCATTAAAATTTTCCAGAGTTTTAATCTAGCTGAATACCTTTTTCATGGGAATTGTGAGGAAGGAAGGCAATTTATAAAATTAATGTTTGATCAAACATGTTTCATAGGGCTTCCCCACTGTTCAGATCATGGCCTGAATGAATTCCAGAAGCTCTGGGCAATTGCTTTTGAGTTTTGAAAGCTACATACTTAAATTTGACAAAAGAAAAAATAATTAATAAAGAAGTAAGATATGCATGCTGCTGTGTGGTTAAATTGGAAGTGTGATATATGAAAAAATAAGTCATGAAAAATTATTTTTATCTCCAAGATTATATCATCAAAATAACAATGAAGATTGCTTTCTTGATTTCTGTTTATTAACAAAGAGTTATTTGACTTCTTTCTAAAAGTTGAAAAGTAATATTGCAGTCATTTAGATTCCGCTCACTCAATACTGAAAGGCAAAATAATGTTAATATTACTATTAGGCTAATTTGGAAATAAAAGTCAATATCAGTAAAATAAATAACATTAACATCTTGGGCTCTTTTCTTTTAGAAAGCAGCACTAGATAAAATAGGGAGGGAAGAGGAAAGAAATAGTATATGAAGACACTCCTATAAACATTGAGAAATAAATATAAAGAAGAACTGAATAATAAAACATTGTTACCCATTACTATCAATACACAGTGATCTCTAGCAGTCCTTTACAGAGCAGGTGTCATAATATGAGAGGAACCAATTTTGGTCCAGATAAATCTTGCAAGCCTATCTTTCAAATTAAGACAGGCTTCACCGTGATTGGGTGCATGGGTAACAAGGATTCCCTTGTCTAACAGCACAGTGACTGCTGAAGTGTGCAAGATTTGAAATGAGCAGGCAGAGGGTAGGAGCCAAAGAAAGTAGTGTAAGGTATTCATTGGGAGTTCAGCCAATAAGCTTCATGCTTCTGCGTCCAAGTGCCTGGTGTTATTTTTTCCAGATGGCGTCTATTTGTCTAACAGAAAGAAAATCTTCAAGTTGCACTTGTTAAATGTTGTACAAGTTTTGATATATTTGTTTAGGTGCTGTCAGAAGACAAGATGAAATGAAGAGCTACTTGGAACACCTGGAACTTAGACCTAGTTATGTACAGTCATGTAAGGGTTACAGTTTAGGGGTATATGTAGGGAATGTTTGATTCTTCCCTGGAGATTTTTTCTTTTGCTTTTCTAAATATCTAAGTAGTGCTTAAAAAA